GTACTACTCAGCCATAAAGAATGAGAAACTAGAGACATTTATAGCTAAATGGATGCATATTGAGGCCATACTCTTAAGTGAAATAGATAAGACACACTTGTGTAAATACTGAATAGTTTCTGTAGTGTGAGATACTGACAGTGTAAATAAGGATTAAAAGGATTAATAACTAATAATTGATACTTTGAAATAGGAATAGGTCCAAAGGGGTAGGGGTGGTGGGAAGAGATGGGGAAAGGGAAGAATGGAAATGAAAAATTATGAGAAAAGAAAAAAAATGGAAAGAAGTGTATGTAAATAGGGAAGGGTGGAGGGGTGAAGGGTACACAGGTAATGGGGAAAATATAAGAACCAAGGTACATCATGTACAGGTACAAGCACCCAATGATAAATGTAAACGTATACCTAAAATGCACCAATAAAAGAATTTAAATGTACAGGTACAAGCACCCAATGATAAATGTAAACATATTGTATACCTAAAATGCACCAATAAAAATTTAAGTAAATAAATAATGTTTTTGTGTACAAATGTTTGTGTGCACATATGCTTTCATTTCTCCTGGATAAATATCTAAGAGTGGAATGGCAGGATCATATGGCTACTCTTTGTTCAGTTTTTGAGGAATTGTCAGACTGTTTCCCAGTCCATTGCACTGTTTGGCATTCCTACCAGCAGAATATGAGGCTTCCAATTTCTGCACCTCCTTGTCAGTGCTAGTTCTTGTCTTTTGTTGTAGGCCTGCTAGTGGATGTAAAGTGGAATCTCAATGGGGTTCTGAATTTGCATTTCTGTAATGATTCATGATACTGAGCATGGACCTGCATTTTTTAACTGAAAAATTTTGTAGCATCCTCACACCCTGTGTTTAGTGTTGCAAGTACAGCTCTGAATATGTGAACAAGGCAGTCTAAGTCTATGCCTTCTTGAAGTTTAGAATTCATGTGGGAAGATAGGAACAAAATAATTGCAATTTGAGTTTTAATAAGGAATTATATAAGATATAATCACTTAGTATACTTTTTAGATTTTCTATTTCAGTGATTTAAGACTTTTCCATTATCTTTAATGACTAGAATTCATTTATAGATATTATACATGGTATTTATAGATATTATATAGGGCAATTTTACATTTGCTTTTAAAAATAATTCAGAAGAGTGAGAGTGTATCTGCATTAATCAGCTTTTCATCACTGACTACCTGACAAAAACAACTTAATGGAAGAAAGATTTATTTTGGCTCATGTTTTCAGAGGTTTCAGTTCATAGCTGGCTGACTCCATTGATGTGGGTATGAGATGAGGCAGAACGTCATGGTGAAAGGGTGTGGTGGAGCAAACCTGTTCACCTCATGGCAGCCAGGAAACAGAGAGAGGGAAACAGCTAGAGAGGAAGGAGCTGAGGACCGGGTATGGTCTCCAAAGTCACACCTGCACAATCCACTCCTTTAGTTAGGCCTCATCTCTTTTTTCTATTCCCTCCCAATACTGCCATCAAACTATAATCTCATCAATGGATCAGTACATTTGATGAAGTTAGAGCCCTTTTAATCCAGTCATTTCCCCAGAAACCATTAGCAAGCATTTGAGTTTTGATGTGATATTTCAAATCCAAATCATAGCACTGTCAAAGAAAAACATACACAAATGTATAAAGAAAAAAATGGAATAGTCTCCCTTCTTTAGACTTTAACCATTAGCAGCTTTAATATTTATTATTCCAGGCCTTTTCCATTGCATGTACAAATTTGTAACATGTAGAGTTTTGACTAAAGAGTTACTTTGCTAAAGAATTTTCACTTCTTATTGTGACTCCTGCTTCACCTTCCCTGAGATATAGAGTGATTTTGCCAAGTTTACATGGTGTCTGTGGTGGGGATTTGCTAAACATTGAGTGCTCTGTTTGTGCCAGGAACTTTACACCATACCCAGGTACATCTGGACTGTGATGCATGACTTCCTGTGTTTCCTCTTCACTACAGATGGTCCTCATCCCTGCTGGAGTATTTACAATGGGCACAGATGATCCTCAGATAAAGCAGGATGGAGAAGCACCTGCAAGGAGAGTTGCTGTTGATGCCTTTTACATGGATGCCTATGAAGTCAGTAATGCTGAATTTGAGAAGTTTGTGAACTCAACTGGCTATTTGACAGAGGTAATGGTTTGGGGATAGGAGGAAGAGCTTATTCTTTTCCAGAACCTTTATGCTTTAGTTATATTGGACATTGATGACCATTTTTATTATGTGCTCGGTACTGTGCTGAGCACTCTGTATATGGATTTTGTTTTATTTTTCCCAGTACTCCCATGAACTAGGTTACATTATAGGTAGCAAGCTAGGGATTAGAAAAGTGATTTGTCCCAAATTGCTTGGTTGGTGTGGAGTTGGGGTTCAATCCTGGACAGTGTGACCACAGAACCTATGTTCCTTTTTTTTTGGTACCAGGGCTTGAACTCAGGACCTTGTGGTTGAGAGGCAGGCAGTGGAACCACTGAGCTAAATCTCTGGCCTTAGAACCTATGTTCTTAACCATATGTTGTATTGTGTTGATGCTTTTCATATGCCAGAGACAGCCATTGTCTCAAGTTTTTTGAGATAACAGATGGCATGTGAAGTAAGGCCATTCTTCCTTCTCAATAAATTGTAGTTTGATTGTTCCAGAAGCAGTACATGTTTCCTAAGTGATAGATGCAGAAACGTAGCTTTTCATTCTTGTGGCTTTATTCCAATCTCTTTAAAACTCATAAGCATTTCTGTCTCAGTTCCAGGCATTATCCTGTGGTCACTGAATACAAAGTATGGCCCTGCAAGTGGATGTTTGCCCCACATTACATACGCAGTACTGTGATATTCTCCAGGGTGGTCAACAAGCTACCAGTGGCAGGTTGATTACATCGGACCACTTCTGTCATGGAAAGGGCAGCATTTTGATCTTGTTGGACTAGATACGTATTCAAATGGAAGGGCTTTGGAATAAGACTGGGGAGGCTTCCTAGTTTATGAGTGTTTCTATGAGGATCTGAAATATACCTGTTTTTAAAAAATGTCTTGTTTTCTCTCACCAAAAAAATCTGTCTTCGGTTTATGGAGTTTCTCTTTCTTTTCCTTCTCCTCCTTCTCCTCCTTCTCCTTCTTCTCCTTCTCCTCCTCCTCCGTCTCCCCCTCTTGTTCCCCCTCTTCCTCGTCGTCCTCCTCCTCCTCCTTCTGTCTCTCTTCTTTCTTTTTTTCCACCAAACATACTTTAAAACTTAAAATAGTTAATTTGAGAGGAATGCCAAAAGCAAGACAACATTCACATTTGATTTTGCACTGCCACATTTCTTTGGAATTTCCTAAAATAAACAAAATAGTTGTAAATCTTTTTTTATAGATATTTGTAGAAGCAAAAGGCTCTGTTCTTTTTGTTTCATTAAGGATATTCTTGGATCAAGTTCTTCAGTACTGTATTCTAAGTTAGAAGATGAGTTCTAAGGAAGAAGGGTTTCCTTAGACCAGAGTTCTCCAGGAGGATTAACCAGAAGAAGCTGGATTTAGGTCATCCAAGAACATGGAAGGGGAAAAATTAGATCTGGACATTGACTACTCTGAATCTTAAATTTATCATTTCCTTCAATTATGTAGGACAATAAACCGTAGTGATTGTGGCATCTATGACTTTATTACCAATAGAAATTACAGACTTTTTTTTATCATGTTATTGTTGTTGCATGTATCTTGAAATATTATTTGCATTCATTCATTCCTGCTTTGACATGTAGTAATTATGAAACCTGGCACTAGATCTTATTTAATAAAGCAATAAAGACCATACATATTACTAAAGGATGAAATTTTTAAATTAGTATTGTGGTATAAATAGTTGCCTTATTTATCCTATTGATTTTATATTATGCTTTTAAATGTTCCATTCTCAGAAGGAGATTCCTAAGCTTCACCATGCTGCCAAAGAGATATAGGGCACAAAAAAGTTTGGGAACCTCTGCCTTAGACAAAGTGCTTTATATTTTTATGACATTTATCAGGTTTTCTCCTTATCTTTCCAATTTCATTTTACATCATGTGCCCCTTGCTCACCTGTTCTAGCCCCACTGGTCTTGTTTTGATTTCTTGAAAACTAGACATTATTTCTTTGCAAGCTTGGCCAATATTTTTCTTCTGCTTGGAGTCCACAGCCCCTTATTTGTCCCTTTTTGCGTATCTATCTTCTTTTCATTCTTGAGTCACCTCAGCACACATGTCCCTTTCTCAAGAAGTCTTCCTGTGCTCACTCTGCCAGGAGATTTTTCTTGACACTTTGACCTTACAAGGTGAAATTAAGTTAGAATTGTTTTTTCCTTTCTTTGATTGGCTTGATCTTTGTCTGTGTCCTCACATTTAAGTGAAAGACAAGGACAATGCCTGTCTGGTATTGACTTTGTGTCCCTTCATTTAGCTTAAGACCTGTCATGTGGTAGATGTTTGATACCTGTTTACTGAATGAGTAAATGGGTTAGATTCTTAAGCACTGTAATGTCACCAGGAAATACACAAAAAATATCAGGGGTGAAGAAATGATGATAAGTTCCACATAAAAAAAGAAACTTGAGGTACTTGTAGGGCCTGAAATATAGGGATCCAGTACTCAGTTAATTTTGTCTTGTCAGGACTGGGCAGGGCTGGAGGTTGAAATTTGAGAGTCATTGGAAGTCCTGGCCATAGTTAAAGTGAAGAGGTTGAAAGACATTTCCTAGCAGCTGATCCATGTATTTCTCTTGAACCACCTATGTTAGATCCAGCGGATTTAACACAGGCAGGTTTTTGGTTTTTTCCTTACCATATATCCCCAGAATCAAAATGTCTGGGGTTGGAGAACAGTAGTATATAGTTTTAATAAGCTTGTAGTATAATTTCAGCTACACAAAATCAAAGAGCTGCTGGCCTAGTATAAGAGGGCAAGGGGCAGAGCTCCAGAAAGCTGCTGAGTTTCAGGGGCAGGAAGAGCCTAGGTATTTCCAAAGAGTAAGAACAGTCAGAAATGTAGGAAGAAAACTAGAGGAAAGTCACAAATGCCAGGGGACAAAGGACCTCCTTTTCAGGATAGGGTCACATGTGACAAAAAGAATAAGGCTGATGAAGACTTGAGGTGCTAATGTTAAATACAATTATTAAAATGGACATTTACACCTGTTGCTGAATTTGGCCACTTGAGATTTATAAACAAATTTGATACCTTAGTAGAGCTACAGTGTGACAGAATGTCAATGAATAGTTGTATTTAACTCTTTTACCTAGATGCTAGGAGCAGGATAAAGGACAAAACTTGATTGTGTAATCTCATTTTTACACAATACTGTTATTTCCCAAAGTCATTTATAATTCTTGAGGAAATAAAATTTCCTTCAACAGGGGCAGTCAGGTTCTCAAAAGTTAATGTGTTCCAGTTTACAGTCTTACCAGCTAAACAAGCCTTAAATGAATATATTCTCTGTGAGTGATATTAACCTGTTTTAACAGGAAGCCAGATGCTTTGAAGTCATCTGAGTCCTCTTGGGTAGTCATAGAAAAAACTCACGTTCAGTTAGACAAGAAAAATCATTTTAGTAATGTGCAAGGAAAATGGTACATGTAAAACACATTACTCCAACTGTTTCTGGGTTTATTTCCTACCTTCCTTATAGGCTGAGAAGTTTGGCGACTCCTTTGTCTTTGAAGGCATGTTGAGTGAGCAAGTGAAGACTGATATCCAACAGGCAGTAAGTAATGTTTAAACAGGCTCTCATATTTCTCTGTGGCTCACTGGAAATAGTTCAGGTGAAAAATCCCAACTAAAAATGCTACTTTCCTTTCCCTCCTACCCTGATCATTTAACTGTCATAGATTTGCCCAAGGTAACAGCCCATAGGTCAGGGCACCTGATCTGGATGAACATGGCACAATGCCAGAATGGTGTCTGAGGAAGCATTGAATCAGCCTTGAACTTTTGTCTCGTGCACCCAAGTAATACATCTTGTTATGAAGTAGAGCTCAGCTGGGCTCTAGACCCTTCTGAGTTTCTTTTACTTATAAACATTTCTGACATGAAAATTTTTTTTGCTTTGTTTTGTTTTGTTTGTTGTAGTTTTGGGGACAGGGTCTCAGTATGTAGCTCTAGCTGGTTTGGAACTCACCCTTCTCCTGCCTCAGCCTCCTGAATGCTGGGATTAGCTTTGGAATGAAAGGTTAAATGTAAATGTTTTAAAATTCTATTTTCAAAGCACTGATCTCTTCAGAAGCTGGTGTGGAGATAGACTTTACTTTTTAAACATTCATGAGATCAGAGAAGTATCCATGAAAAGGGTCCTCTGCTGTGAATGTTCCTAAGAAATGGAGGCAGACAATTGGTTCTTATAGGCAGGAGTGTACTGTCTCTCAGAAAGAGGATCCAGGAGTGTGAGTTAGGTGTATTTTCTTCAGATATCATGGAAATAGATTGGGTTTCCAGGAACACCTAGGTGGTGAGTAGAATTTGGAATTCCTGTACCAGCTGTTTTAGTAGATTTGTGATATTTATGTATTTGTTTGCATACACTGTTTATGAAAATGTAGGAACAAGGGAAAGAGTGGAGGTAAGCTGGCAAGTTGAGGGTTCACAAACCGAAAAGGGCAGAAAATGCAGACATGCAGGAGATAGGTTAGAGAACAGGGGTCACCCAACTTAGGGGAGATTGATTAAGACACAGACACTGAAGATGAAGGAACCCAACCCTAATCTTCCTTTTTATACAAGTTCCTTTTCAATTCTGGCCATGAACTTTATCTTAATATGTTGGCGTCACTCTATCCTCTGGCAGTGGTGCCAGGAAAACTGAAGTATCCTGGCTCACATTTTCTTTCTTTTCAAAAATATGGGGGGAAAGATGAAATAAAACAAGAGTTAGTCCCAAATCATATTTTGGTGAGTTGGACCATTTTTAGATAAATTTTTGAAAACATGATTGAGATCCATTTAAATTTACTTGGTCACTGCAAGTTTATAAGTCTTATGTAACCTGATAACCCCACCTCCGTTTTTAAAGGGCTTTGACGTCTTTTCAGGCTAGTGTTGATGTAAGTCAGGATGTGGTGCCTTGTTTTAAGATAGGGAGTTCAGATGAGGGAGAGCATTTGTGCTTATTTCTGTAATTTGCGCTTTCAGATACAGGGTGTCTTGTCATTTGTCCAGGCACACAGCATGAAAGGCAGAGGTGATATTGCTAGGCTCTGAAGGTGCCCTGTTAAGTATGTAGTGAAGTGTGTGTGCTTGTAACTAGGATGAGGACAAGCAGCTTTCACCCGGTTGCAGTATTGGTCACTTGCTTAAATGCTCATTATGGAAAAGCAAACCTTTTAAGCTTGTTTAGAAATGGTTGAATGAATAAAATAAATTTATTGATGAGGTAGGAGAGCTTTTATTTATTTATTTTTTTCATCCCCCTTCTTAAGCCTGACTTAACTTCAGGCACTAGACCTTTTTTAAAACCAATGTTTCTAGAAATGTAAGATGTGAGCTGATCCATGGAATAACTTTAAGATGATTTTAGGTAGTAGATAGGCAAATGAAAGGTTACCCTGGATCATGTTCTGAGAAAACCTTTCCTTTAAAGAAAGAAGTCTGGGGGTTGGGGATTTAGCTCAGTGGTTCCACTGCCTGCCTCACAAGCTCAAGGACCAGAGTTAGATCCCTGGTACCAAAAGAAAATTTAAAAAGAATAAAGAAAGAAGTCTCATTTCAGAGTTCACCTGTTCTTAACACTTCACAACACTTGTTAGTCTCTCTCTCCTTTTTTTTTTTCTGTTGGTCCCTTTTTTAAAAACAGGTCCCTTTTTTTAGAAAACAGGCTGAGGAATCTCCTCAGGCTAGAGTAACTGGTTAAAATTAAATAATATTGTTTATTTTCATGAGATTATTTTAAAAATTGTATTCATGTCAGTTTACATTAATGATATACATTGTCCCTTTTTTCTTTTTTTTGGTACTGGGGACCGAACTTGGGGCATTGTGCTTTCGAGGCAGGCACCAGAACCACTGAGCTAAATCCCCAGCCTTACGTTGTCCTTTTTTTTTAAAAAAAAACACCTTTTCATTATAAAAATTCAAATACAGAAAATCATATATCATAAGTACATGACTTACTGAGTTACCCTAAGTTGAATGTGCTTGTAAGTATCACCCAACTCAGAAGTTGGAATTCTGCTACTACTGTAGTGGCTACATCTGTGTGCCACATGCTATTACCCTTCTCTGTCCCTGAAGTAGGCCCTCTCCTGATTTTTAAAGTAGATATTTCCTTGTATTTCTTTGTAATATTAGCATCCAGTGTACATCCCAAGTTTAATCCTGCTAATGTAAAGGTATTTGCATGTTCTCTTTTCTTTTTAGATAGAATTTATGAAGAGTACTTTTAAGACTCTTCTAGTCTTCAGGTTTCCCTTTCAATGGCCCTTTCCTTGTCTCTTTCACACTAATTTATTCACTGAAGAATACAGAACCTTTAGCCTGTAGTCTTTCCCACAGTCTAAATTTTTCCGACTGCCCTCTCTTAATGCAGTTCACCTGTTCTTTCTAATCTGTGTGTTAGCTGTAGTTCGGTAGCTGCATGCACAGCTGATCAAATTCATGTTTGCAACCCATGGCAGGACATCATAATAGTATCTTCCTTCAGCAGGAGGCACCTAATCTCTATTGCTTCTCTTTTGCCATGTTAGCTGCTGTTAATGCTCAGTGGTTATATCCATGAATTTATTAGGAGTTGTAATGGTGATAATTTAATAGTTATTTTTCATTTATTAATGGATATACTTTCATAAAGAGATAGTTTATTTTCTTAGCCATTGGTACAGGCCATACAGAAAAGGTCTGTCTCCTCCTCCTCTACTTTCTCTTTCTTCATCTTCCTTTTCCTCTCCTCTCTTCTCTTGTCTTCTCTTTTCTTTCTGGACAAGGTCTTGCTGTGTAGTTCAGGCTGGCCTTGAACTATTTTGTAGCCCAGGCTGGCCTCGAACTGCCAGTGGTCCACTGCTGTAGCCTCCTCCCAAGTTCTGGGATTATAAGGCCTGTGCCACCACAGCTGGCGTACAAGCTTTTAAAATAATGAATTGATCCCTATTACTCTTCAACAGTGACAAGCTGGGTTTTTGAAAATTAAATATTTAAGATAATTATAGATTCAATGTAGGAATAAGAAATAATTTTTTTTTTTTTGTACCAGGGATTGAACTCAGAACCTTGCGTTGTGAGGCAGGCACAGTGCCACTGAACTAAATCCGCAGCCCAGGAAATAATATTGGGTATACCATTCACCCAGTTTCCTCCAGTGGTACCATCTTATATAATTATAGTACAGTTTCATAACAGGAAATTAGTAGTTGATACAACCTATGTATTTTTGAGTGCATCAGTGTTACATGTATTTATTTATATATATTTATATATATGTAGTTCTACACAGTTTTTTCACAAATATAGATTTATGTAATTACCAGATTGAAAAAATCTTTATGAATTCATATATTTAAACATGTATTTATTCACTTAGAATTAAAATTTTCCTGTTTTTGAGCACTGGTTACCTTTTCAAGCTCTTATGAATCTTTTTACCTTCTCTCTCCTTTTCAACAGCTTTTTTGGGGATATAATTTACATACTATAAAATTCACCATTTTAAATGTACAATTCAGTGTTGTTTTAGCATATTTACAGAGTTGTGCAACCATCACCACAATCTAATTTTAGGTCATTTTCATCGGTCCAGGAAGAAACCTTGTGCCGATTTGCAGTTGTTCTCCTTTCCTGTGGCCAGCCATAGGCAACTTTCTGAGTCCTTTTGAACTGACTGTGGTCGCCCTCATGGCTTCTTTGCTTTTTCTGATGACAAGATCTGTGTCTACTTCCCTGGAATTAGCCATTTCTCTAAGAAGTCCTATTTCCAGAACCCCCTCTAGGTCTTAGGTATGTTTGTTGCTTTAGTTCCGTTGTTGTTTCTAAGCCTCTTCAGTGGACAGAGCTAAGGTAAAATGTCCCATTAATTTACATTGATAGTGTACTTCTGTTTTGGGGTTTTTACACAGCCTGTTCTGTATTACATTTTTGTCTTTTCTTCCACAGCAGGAGTCCGGGTTCTCCGGGACACAGGGATAGAATTAAAATAGCCCATAATTACTCATTTATTTTATCCTAGATTGCATATGTAACAGTCTCAAAATAACAATACCAATACTACCATCACCAATGTAATTACTGAGAATAAGGTTAGAAAATACCCAGACTTTTACATATACTTTTTTTTTTTTTTGTACCATGGATCAAACTTGGGTCCTTGTGCTTGCGCAGCAGGTGGCAAAACCACTGAGCTAAATCCCCAGCCCAATCAGGGCTTTTTTTTTTTCTTTTGGGTACCAGGGATGGAACTCAGGACCTTGCACTTGCAAAGCAGGCACTAGAACCACTGAGCTAAATCCGCAGGCCCCTACATATACTTTTCCTGTTTCTCCCCCAGTTTTAAAATAGTTATACTAGTTATGTATTATTGAAGTGTATGTCTATTGCATAGAGTACTCTCTGCTGTTGAACTTAGTTCTATGAATAGGTACAGGTTTAATTCTATTTTCAGGGTCTTCCTAGACAGTTGAATTGAGGAGCTCATTCTTTGCTAGATTCATCAAGAAGTAGCCATAGGAATAATATTTACATGTTGGTAACAGTTTGTTGGTTTTTTTTTGGTACTGGGGATCGAAC